AATATTGGGCTCCAAACTGATAATAGTTGAGTTATAGTGACCCTGTTCGATGCTAGTTACTCTATAGTACGAGAAAAATTTCCACAAGTTAAATAGATTGCCAACTTGAGGATGCACTTTTCAGGTTATGGCTAAAGCTTCTGACACCCCTTCATTTCATTGATTATCCACACGAATTGAGGTATAAGAGTTAAAAGAAGTACTCTAACGATGGCAAAGATAAAGAAATTCCTCTTGTTCGACTAATAAGGGTCTAATGCTATAGCAAAGCACCCTACATGTGCAAAAGAAAATGCGATGAGAAAAGCTAAGAAAATAAAAAAATGTGTTTGTTGGAAGGCAAAAGTTCTAAAAGGGTATGTCGTAAAGATTGTAGAAGCATTTCAAATTCTAAATCATTTTTCAAAAGCTTCGCCCTATGTGTTTTGAGACTAATGTATGGTTAGTGGTTTATGATTGAGATGAGTATCTTGTTGTTCTTACCTATTGATGTGGTTAGATTTCTCTCGTGCTATTGTTGACCTTGTAAGTTCACTTATGATCCACTACCTAAGATCGATGGTTGAGTGTCATCTTTGGTGTTCATTGAATTGTATGATTGTTAGTAGTGTTTGCTTGGGGACAAACAATGTTCAAGTGTGGGGTATTTCTGATTACGCTTAAATTATAGTGTTTATCACTCCAATATTTGTTACATTTTCCCCATATATCTATACATCTTTAGTCATTTTCATTATATTTCATACAAATATTGTAACTATTTGATCAACGTGCCTAAGATAGAACTTTAGTGTGTTTTTATACTATTTTATGGCTTTTGGTATTTTTTTGTTCTTTTCAGGGATATAATACAATCAAGCATAATACAGATTCATCAATCACTCAGAAGGAGGACGAGTTACAAGCTCCTTGACTCAACATAGATGGATTTGGACTTCGGATGATCACTTTATGGCCAAAGGAATCAGATTTGGTAGTGTAGTAGGCTTACCATTGATGAAGGTCAAAGTGGGTCACTACCCATCAATTCGCTCCGAAATTGGATGAGAGGTTTGGCCCACAAGCAACCTAATCAATGAAAAAACTCATGGCGGTGGTGGCCGCAGCTGGCCCCGACTCATGGAATCTTCTATAAGATGCTTACTTCTTCCACAAGCTAAAGAAATTCGAGTTCAAGTTGTACAAGGATGCTTTTGGCCGACTTTTAGGAGAAAGCCCCCTAGAAAAACCCTTCTCTGATGTACTATAAATAGGGGCTTATGCTATAGCTTTTATCTTAAAAACAACTTCGACACATAATCTGCCCTAGTCGGCTCGAGTTAGAAACCACAGGAGTGGAGAGATTATGTCATAGCTACATGGAGATGTCTTCATCATTGATGGTGGTCTCATCGATCTCTTATATGTTCAGCTAAATCGATCATTGTTTAGGGATGTGAATTTCATAATGCTTTATACATCCACTTTCTATGATTTGATGAGATGCTTTGGTCATTGTTTATCTATGTTATTCGATGCTTGTACGATTGGATGTCTTAGTCATGTGATGCTTTATGTTATTCGGATATCTATGGTAGACGGACTGGTATTGGTGGAGGCTAGTTGCCTATTATTGAAGTAGAGTCTCAAGGCAACTCTACAAAAAGGTGGGAAGCTGGACATTCGAGCATTCGAGACGGAGAGCGAGAATATGTGAGCCCGAAAAGCGGGTGAAGGGAGAAGGGAGAGGTTATGCAATATACTCGACAGAAGGGAGGGGGAGGGAGAAAACCCTAATGTATGCAATGACGTGCACTCGCCCGGACATGGCTTATGCCATAAGTGTGAGTAGTAGATTTACTAATAAGCCCGTTTTTTGCTTTGGAATGCATCGGTAAGTAGAATTAAGTCTCTCGCGCATTATCAATGATATAGACCATTAATATGGTTCATAGAGTCCCTAAATAGTTAATGTGCTATTCATACTTCCTAGTTTGATTGATTAGTCTACTGGCATGAAGCGAAAACATGCATTAGCTAGTCATCGTTATCATTAATGATGATTTATACTATTCTTATCAATGACATGTATCCATGCATCTATAATATTATGATTCCCTAACCCTTTCACTAAAGCATTCCTAGCCGAGCTTTTGCCACATGCGAGAGGAATTATAACTAGTTAATGCATGCTTTCACTTCATGCCAATAACTAATCAATTATAACGAGAAAGTAAGGATAACACGTAGCTATTTATCATCTCTAAGAATCATAGCATTGGTTCTTGACTTTGGTTTTCTAATGAATAAAGCATTGGTTCTCATGCATACATAAAAAGGTGATCAATCAATTAATACATGCATAAGGCAATAACATATCATATAAGAAGAGTTTTATATGAAACTTATAATGATATTATGATAACCAAGATTGAAGAGAATAGATAAAAATAACATGAATGGACATAATCATATCATAAAATCGTAGATAGTAGTACATAAGTATCATAGAATTCACATCTATAAATAAAGAGAAGCTTAGCTAACCATAGAATAGATACATTACACGATCGATGATGAAGACATCTCCTTGAAGGTTGATGATTCTCCTCTAGGCCACCAATGTGGAAAGCTCCTCTCGAAGGTGAGTGTATCTCGTTGAACGAGTGTGGTGCGTTTGTGTGTTGTGTTGTGTCTGTATGTGTAAAACCTCTAGCCTAGATCCCTATTTATAGTACATGAAAGAGGAGTTTTATAGGCTTTTCCTCCTTGAATTAGGCTCCACCCATCCTTGTATGACTTAAACTCGAACTCCTTGATATGGGGACGAAGTAAGTAGCTTATAGAAGCTTCTAGGGTTTTGGGCCAGCAGCAGTCGGACCCGCCGTGGGTTTCTTTGTGGCCTTGGGTTGCTTGACATTCAATTAACTTCTCCATCGCATTTGGACGCATCTTGATGTGCACGGGTCGATGATGGTTGGACCCGTTGATGATTATTTCCTCGGTTTGGACTAAAACTTTTCCGGTGGGCTCTTCTTAAGCTCTTCTTGGGTTCATTTGAAAACTTAAGGGGTTTGAGCTCAATTGAACTTCATTTGATATACGAGTTCCTCCTTCATCTTCTTGCAATTACCACTTTGATCCTCCTAATTGATCCAATATGTGATCCAAATCATCCTAGATTGCATTTTACCTTCAAAAGCACAAAACAATACCACAAAGGCATAAATAGATACTAAAACAGAATCAAGATCTCAAATAAGCTCATTTTGATCGTGTGTGTGCATCGAACTGTACAATTTATAACTCAATCATTGACAATACTACTACCCAAATCTAGGACAGTGCACTCTAGATCGGTGAAAGAGTATAGTGGTAGTAACCAATGTTGTATTCCATCGACCTTTAGGTCTACTACTACTATTTCCCTCTACTAACTATCTAGTCAAACGAGTGGTTGGTGGTTTAAGTGTGAAATAAACGAATAACGAAACAAAACTAACTAGGAGAAAGATCACAAGGATAGAATGTTGTTTAGGTTGAATCCCTCCAACTATATATTCAATCGGGTTGTAACCTATCGTGTTTTGAGGTGAAGGTCACTAGAGTGGGGGTCGGTGCTATGGTCATGTCTCCGTACCCCCTCCTAGCCACACCCATCGGCCCATTATTGCCTCGATCGGCTTTCCTAACTAGGATGGGGTCTACCTCCTCTAAATGAGTCTAACTCGTCCGCACACTAGTCAGGTAATTCGATGGCCATGTACTGACCTCACTAGCATCAATTTTGTGAGCTCCTTATAGGAAGGGAATGGTCACCTTGTTCGCTAATTAGGTCTCTAAATCATCTAACACAGGTAGGAAGCACTCAACACACATCTACAAGAACTAACCTAAGGCTAATTCATGCAACATATCATGCATCCACACTCTAATTAGAAGCATTAAGCACTCTAATTGAACACAATCATAGCATAGATTCATATGCAAGATATGAAAGTTTTCCTATCTTCTAAGTTGCGAGGAATCACTTAAGCTAGCACTTAAATTAATGGTCATGGACTTAGATACACTTCTAGCTAACTTCTTGGCTCAATTATCATGCAACCAACAAATCAACTAGAGCACTATGACTAGATTCCTTCAATTGGGAACAAGCCCCAAGGCAAATGCGACTTCGACTCAATGGTCATACAATCCAAATTCCACACTACTTGTAGTATGTTCTAATCTTGACCTAAGTAGATGGTCAACTCTCATAGGTCAAGAACAAACGATAACCATTTGCGCTTGGGGCGCTCCTTTTTATCTACAGAAGCTGTCAACTGAATCCTGGACAAAGACTCTCATTGATAATGACTTACTCTATGGATAGAGAAAAATAGAAAAGCATCTCCTTGTGATGCCAATGCTCGAATCTGGCAGTACTATAGTATAATAATACACATACATAGAAATCCTTCCCAGTGTTTCATCCATCATGCAGCTCGGCGCTAGCTAGCTATATATGACCTTGAGCAATTTGAAATGAGGCCTGCCTCTGATTGGGAATCAGTTTAGTTTTTTACTGTATGTGTTGCTTTCCACAGCAATTATTGTAACAGAGGCAAGTTCAAATGACACAGAAATTGAAAATGAGAAAGGAAGTTGACCCACTAAGACTTTAACCACAACTCTACAAAACTAAGACTTGTTAGATTCCAGTCCATGTTTGCTTGGAGAGCCACCACTTAGACAAGCACAAGATAGTTGACATTGTCCATTGTCTTAGTTAGATGGGTAGAGCTCAACATTTGGTATCTGTCACATGCATCTTGTTTAACAAGGAAAGAAAGAGATGGGTCAGGAGTGAAGAGTGCTTTTCCTTACAGACAACCTAAAAAAGAACAGTGTTACAGTCCAAAAACAGAAACCCAGTAGAAGAAGTGGAGTGCAAACAAAAAACAAGGAAATGGAAAATCAGAAACAGAACAGTTTAATTGAAACCTTTCTCACCCACTTTCTTACAGCTAGGGCTCCTTCTACTTGCATTTTCTCATCTTGGATCCAGTGTGGCTAGCAGCACTCTTTGCCTCTACCATGCACTCTTCTTCTTCTTCTTCCAGCTTGAACCTCGCTCCACCTCTTGGCTTCCCTAGTTTCTGCTCTTTCTTTGAGCAAGTACTGGATACGCGCTTGGGAACACCTCTGCTCCAAGAAACAGTACCCTTCTTTTGCCTAGTTGGAATTTCAGATTGGCTGGGGCCAGAAGAGGCATCTGAGACCATGGAGTCATCACTCTCTCCATCCTCATTATCACTGCCATAGCCACCACCATTCTTGTGATTCGCTTGTTTGCTGTTGTGCCCATCTTCAGAATGTCTGTCATGGATGAAAGAGCCAATGTAATTTGTCCATCCAGATTCAGTGCCTTGGCTCCCACCGATGTTCTTTGAACTTCCCAGATAATGGGAAGAAGAATCCATTGCTGCTGTAGGTAGAGAAGGAAAGACAGACAGGAGAACAAAAATAGAATGAAGTCTGCAAAACAAAGAGAGAGCAAGGCATTAGTTTCAACAAGCTGCATAGTGGTAGTTAAGCATATATAGTTAATATTAAGTTCTCATCTCATCCTCATCCTCATCCTCTAGCCACTCCACTATGGAATTACCAACTTTATATCTGTCCGTATGACCATTCATTTAAGACCTGGCAACTCATGTCATGTGCAGATGAAAAACTCCTTTCATAAAGGAAGATCTCACCACCTGTCAATCCTAGCACCATAGACTTCTCCTCCTCCTTCTCTTAGTAGCTTTTTTTCAGGCACTAGAGGACAAGGGCCATGGCCATGTAGAGTGAGTGTCTGTCTCATGAAACTGGACAATCTTCTCATTCTTAATAAATGGACTTCCACTATGCCATGGCAGCTCACTTTTCCATTTAGACCTTTCACCCTGACAAATACCCTCTCCTCCTTTACTCCCTCTGACCATTTCATAAATAACAAGAGAACCAGCTTTCAAGGTTTGCAACAACACAGAGAGAAAGGAAACTGGTGAGACCCTATTTTTCTTGCATTAATGGATAGAAGAGAGTAGAGCAGTGTCATCACCGTGTGCTTTTAGATTTTAATCTTTCTCCTATCTATAATTCTTTGTCCTGACATGGAAAAGAAATACCCAACTGGGATCTTTTGGCATTTTATACCGACTTGGATTTTGTGTTCTTTATAGCAAAAGGGTCATTTTGTTCGTTCTTCTGCAATTAAATGTTTGCAGCTTTTGATGTATGCTCCAAAGTGGGGTCTATATCTCTTCCATTCTTCGGATTTTTTTTTTTATATTTGCTAACAAATTCTGTCTGATCACAAAGCTGCTTCCAGTCCTAGTTAGATGGAAACAGTTGGATTCCATCATCAGTTAATGAAATTCTGATCTCATTTTGCCATATATTTTTTTTAGGCTAGTCTAGTTGCTGGATCAGTGCCTACAGAAGAGGTGAGGCAAGCTTCCTCCTCCTGGTAGCATAGCATCATTATTGTTCCCTTGTCACGGAGATGTTGACTACTGGACTTTAAAGCTAACCCACCCTGACAATGAACCAAAAATTTGCTTTTGGAAGTTTCTCATGATGATTATTGCAAGATAGAAGATGAGCCTACTAATAATATAAACAATCCTTTTCAAATATACTATGTTCAGTTATAATGTTAACAGTTCATCTATTATCGGTTAATCATTAACCAATTTGTGTTTTCCAATAACCGTACTGTTTATATAAGTCGATTAATCATATGTGTACAGTTGCTTATCGGTTATTTTGTTAGGTAGCTGGTTGACCATTGAGCAAGTAATTCAATTATTTCGCATGTCCTTTATATTGACTCTCTATTATAACAAAAATATTAAAGAATTTAATTAAGAATAATCAACCCTTAAATTCCAAATCCAAACCTATAATATACATTTTCAGGACATTGAGATAGTGGTGATGATGGTGGCTGTGATATCAATAATATCCTCGTAGTAGATAGTTCTACTCTCCTTCCAGTCCTCTATTTTTCATTCTTCTTGACTCTGTTCTATTTATTTTCTATGAGAAAATTTGTGTTTGAAAAAAAGCACATTTTGACTTCTTGAACAACGATTAACAACACAATTCAAATCTCTCCGAACAATGTTCTAACGATAGTGTTTGAGGATTTTATGGCTGCGAAAACTATGTTAAATTACACCTAAAGACTATTGTTATTGTTAAATTGCGTAGAAAAATACAAAATTTGACATGTGGTGTCAAATGTTGATTTTGAGAACCTGTCTCTTCTCTTTGTTTTTCATATTTATAGTCATCCGGTGTAACTGCTCTAGCAACTGTTAGCTTGTTGGCTGCTCCAACCGCATCGGGGGCCTCTCATCACGTCTTGACAACTGCTAGCTTGCCAACTGCTCTGACCACCTCGGGGACCCCCATCCCACATTAACAACCGTTAGCTTGTCGGCTTCTCCAATTGCATCAAGACGCCTCGTCCCATCATGGTGGCCTTGACGTCTGGTCATGTTGGTGTTGAGTTGAACTTCACCCAAGTATTGCCACATCCACCTGACTATACGGGGTTTAATCCTCATCGCGTTGCTTCTATGTTGAAGTCTCGATCACACCCTTGAAAGCTCCAATGCCTCATACTTAACTCCTTCGTTGTCGAATTCGCACCACCCTCGTTTCATTACCAAGCCCCCTCATTGGCTTTCTATCCCCGTCCTTCTAGCCACATCCATGAACACCTTTATAGGATGAGAACTTAACTCTTTCGCTTCTAAGTAAATGGGCCTTTACCTATCAAATAACGATACTTAGGGCTCATTTGAAAGAGGAATTCTCACGGATCAATTTAATCCAATTGTTTCGTTTTGAGATAATCTGGCTAAATTGATCTGTTTGGCATCACAAAATTTAGATGAAGCAATTCTGACTGTGGAATTTCAAATTGACTCATTTTGAGGCAATTACAATTGTCTGGGGTGGGGGCAGACAATTCAAATTGACTCGTTTTAAATGACTGACACGCCAAAACACAACACCAAACTGCGACCAAGTGTAATCGCAGTCCGGGAATGCAGTAACAGGCAAGTTATATTATCAACCCGGGGTCTAGATCTACTGCTTACTCCGTGATTCTCTATTATCTAGCAAACTAAGTCGAGTGAGTGTGGTGTCAAAGCAAAAGCAGTAAGAAAGCAGTAAATAGTTCGGTTTTCAAAAGCAGTTAAGAGTCACTCGGGATTGAGTCCCCCTAGCCCCTTAGTTAGGTTCAATTGCAATTCCCTGGGTTGATTTACTGTTGATTAGACTGCGGAAGATCCGACAGTAGCTTGGAATCTCTTAAGCTGACCAAGCCCTCTCAGTCTAACTACCCGGCAGACGACTAGTCTTCACCGGGATAGAAAGCTGAGGCTATAAACACAGAACTCCACTACTGGCGTCAAGAACACCAGTACAAAGCAGTAAACTTGGCTAACTCTCGTAGTAGCCAATCTCCTACTATCGAATGAAGAAGCTCTAACAACCTAATCAGATTCTATCTATCTCAGGTTGAAGCAGAAATTGAAACAAGTTGATCAGGCTCAAATCAATTCATGAAACATACGTCATTCGATTAAAACCAAACAGTAATATCATTCCCAAGTCATTACAATCAAATCCCTAACATCAGGAACTAGGGTTCTTCATACCCAAGTGAGAGAGGGGTTCTACTCCATAGAGAGAGAAGAGAAAACAAGAATCGGATTAGTCATACTCATAACGATGAGGATAATCTGCTCCGGGACGATGATGATCACTCCTATGACGATCTCCAAGCTCGATTTGATGAAATCCAGCTCCAAGATGGCTTCTAGGATGAGTTCTTCGCACTTTCTCTCTCTAGGGCTCTGTTTTTGCTCTCAAAACGCGATTTTTTCACTTCTGGCTCGGAATAGACATTAAAACCGGTCTCCCCGAGTTGCACGGCCAGGTGCACGGCCGTGCACTACCCCATTCTGGCCGTGCAACATCAAACGCACCGTTTCATTATACATGCTCAGCCTTCTTGCACGGCCAGGCGCACGGCCGTGCAAGCCTGGCTTTTGCCCGTGCAAGCTCTCGTCGTGAGGCGCACGGCCAAAATGGCCTTAGTGCACGGCCGTGCAGCCCCCTGGTCTGGCCGTGCACTCCTCCAAAAGCTCGCCCTTCGTCCGTTCTTCATCCAATCGACCCCAGACTCGCTCCTAAGCCTTCATTCACGTACTAGGACCTGAAATAACACAACCAAGCACAACCTAGCGTGAAATCGGCCTAAAACACGAGAATCAACACCTCAAACGGTGTTAGTATGAGGGTAAAAACATGTGTAAATGACGGTCTATCAAACTCCCCCACACTTAACCGTTTGCTTGTCCCCAAGCAAACCAAGTCAGACACTAGGTAAGCTTACATATTTCAATCAACCAACATTGGGGACAAGTCATAAAGGCACAGAACACGTGAATCGCACTGGTTTTCAAACATCAATACATGCACAACCTCGATAACAACCTGGACAACCACCTACAAAGGACATTCGAGTGCAGCAAATCGAGTAAAGGAAGAGTCTCCCTTCTGTTCACTGGCCAACCTAGACTTGATTCAACCACTTACTCAAAACAGTCAACTCATGCATCCAACTCAAGACATCAGAATAGAGACCGAGCAATCTAGGTCCTCACCGGGGTACAAGAGCATATAGAAAATGAAAATGAATCACTCACTCTCGACCAGTGGGGTCAGGACAATTTGATGCGAAAGATGCGCATGCTATTTCTCTCAATCCTAATCATCTCTTCACCATGATGGCAGCCTCTAAATGCTAGAGTTCACATATGGGGTGTCACCACTAACTAATCAGGAGGTCTTAGACACAGGTTCAAATGACTGGCTAGGGTCTTGGACATGGGGAAAAGGCCTTTTAGGTGGTGGAAGTATTCATAGCAAAAGGTTCCACATTTACCCAAACACACAAACACAGTCAAACAACCCGGTATTTTCTTTCTGCTATCCTGCATTACTCAATATCTCAAGAGCACAAGAGCGAAGGAGGCATAAACATCAGCATTTCCAAGCCAGACTGCTAAGAAACACTACTTACTGGGCATTATTCAGATTTTTGGTAGTGGCTCTCTTTTGCTTTCAATTTTTCTTTGTTTTTCTTTTCATTTCTCTTTTCATTTCTTAAGAGAGCCACCACTTCTGCATAAATTTCAAACACATGCCCAACTTTAAGCACTACCTCCAACACTCACATAGACTTTAGCAGAAACAGCAGAGAATATAGTAAAAACCACTCTGTGGAACCTTCTAAAAGATGCAACAAGGGTGATTTTTCTCATTATAGACCAAAAGAAAGGATAACACACGGCTCAAAGGGGCTGACTAGGGGATATGACACATCAGGACAGTCAGTTTTGGGCGT